CCAGAGAAGTCTGGGAGACAGAGAACAGTGTACAAGAGTTTATTTAATTGATATCTGAATTTAGTTCTATCATGTGGGGCCCACGTTACAAGTTCCATCTGGGTCCATTACAACTCTAAACAAACAAAAAAAACTTTAAAAAATCCACAACTTTTTCCATGTCATTAAATATATTCATATATAATAACCATAATATATTAGTATGCATTGGAAAGGAGCACTGACCCAATGTCATGGTCACAACTAAACATTTACCATTCTGAGTGAACAGAATTCCGGAACGCAGGGGGTGGGGGGTAGTGCACCCAGGAGCGGGGGTGGGAGGATGGCGAATGAGGAGGAGTGGGCTGGCTGGGGTGGCAGAGGCGAGGCCTCGGAGTACACACTGTGATGCCCCTGGGGTATGGCATAGCTGCGGCTGTGAACCGTGGCCCAGGAACCCCATCGGTGAGTCTAGTTGGTCTATTCTCGGTCTCTCTCGTGGGGTGTGATAGGGGCCCTTCCTTTGAGCATTGAGGTCCCAATGTTTTTCAGTTTCCTGGAGGGATCATTTCCTGATTGCTCAGAATCTTCTCGATTTCCATCTCATTCCAACCTGGGGCCAACCCAAGAAAGTCGATACCCATTTCCTGAGCGCTACTGTGGAGGCGGAATTCCAGGTCACTGGGGGCCTGGGGCAGCTCACAGCCTCCCGCCCATTTCCCAGGACCTGCCGGGGCTGCCCCCCCCCCCCCCCCCCCCCCTGCTTGGGACAGAAGCAGGGCTGCAGGTGAGTCCGGGCAGCCCGTGTCCCCCTCCCTCCACCCCGTCCTCTTTACTATGCTCAGTAAAGCAGCCACTCCGCTGTCAGGGGCTCCAGACCACCCAGCAGGTAAGAAAAAGGACAAGTGGGGAATCTTTTAAAACAAAAAAGGACTAATCTGGTGTTTTTCCTCAAATACCTACATATCACAATTCTGGTTAATACACTCTTCAAAATCAAAATCTAGTTCATTTTACATCCCTTCCTAACTGTACAAACGGGCACACCTCAGTTCCTATTCATCTCCTCCTGGTGGAGGAGGTGCTTCCTCAGGGAGGGGTCCTCGCCGCTCAAGTTGGGGGCTGGGTTCCGGCTGGGTCAGTGCGATGCGGAGGCCTGTGGTGACAAATCCGGCCGCCCTGACACATGGCCCAGGGGCCAGGCTGCTGGGTGGACTGGGTGGCCTTTGCCCTCAGGGGCAGAGCAGGAGGGTGAGGCTGGTTGAGTTTAAAGCAAGATGTATTACTGCTTGGCAGGCTGCTGGCTCCAGAGCTGGGGGCCTCGGAGACCACCCGCGCTGGCCTCGGATGGACCTGGGTGACTCAGACCCAGGGTGGGAGGTGGCGGGGCTGCCACGCCCTTCTGGACAGGCAGGCAGAGAAGCCGGACCGGTGTAAACAGAACAGGACCAGCCCAAGCAGTGAGTGCCTCTACAGGACTGTGGGCCAGCAAAATGCCAAGGCCTTCGAGGTGCTAATGGCACTCGGCAAACCGCGCTGGCGTCAGAGGGCTCACTGCTAGGAGAGCGGTCCCCATGCTCCCGTCTTGGGCCTGGAGTCAGGGAAGACAAATATCCCTCCCCAGAGCCATTCTGTCCTCTCTCCCCCACGGGGGCACCTCTGCCAGCCAGTCTCTCCTGGAATCCCTCCACACACACACCCCACCCCCGGCCAGGCAGCCAAATGTCCTTTCTGCTGTGTCTTAGATCAGCCACGGCCCCTTTCAGAGCCTTTAACCTACAAATTGTGTTTGTACGCCTCACCCACCACCCCTGCTCCACCTCTGAAGATGTCATTGCGCCCACCCCTCACACTCCATTCACCAGGTGCCACCAGGGCCAGTGTCTCCGTGGCGACCTCCCAGGAGCACCCCTCGCAGCTGCTGTGGGAGCTGGTGCGCAGCGGGCCAGGTCAGCAAGCCTGGCTCTGGACTGCGAGTCCAGTTCTGCCGCTTTTCCTGGTGGCCTTGGGCACGTGTGCTTCCGTTTCCCCGCTGGTGAGATGGGCAAGGATCCCTGTCTCACGGGGCTGTCGTGAGG